ATAATTGAAATGCAGGGGAATCTTTATATGATAATTGAAATGTAGGGGAATCTTTATATGATAATTGAAATGTACGTGAATCTTTATATGATAATTGAAATGTAGTGGAATCTTTATATGATAATTGAAATGCAGGGGAATCTCCTCGGATGCATGAAAGACGTAATGGTTACTCTAAATTTATATACGATAAATATATACGAATTTTTATTATGAGGTAAACATGTATGCAGAAATTTATCGTATTTGTTTGTGTGATATAAACCGTAATCGTACTGATTTCCTAAAGGCACAACGTACAGTATTTCTGCTATTTTGTCACAAACTTGTCACAAACAATTTTGTGATAATATTCTCGTTGTTTTTCGATTTGTCTCGAAATTCGTTTCTCTTCTGGCATTCCAATTGAGAACGGTAGCGTTGGTAGTAATGATTGTGTCATGCAAGTCACCGCATTACTCCATAACCCCTTTTCCCCTGGGCTTTAACAGTTTATGCTGGTAGTATAACTGCTCTCGGCTGGATATACAACACCAGCACACACGGATTTATTGATTGTTTTCCCAGCCTCCTATTATCGGTGTGACTGTGATGGTGTGACAAAAACATCACTCTGACATAGATAAACGCACTCATTATTTTAGGCATCATTGAATTATTGAAGAGCCGTATGTTGCCACGCAATCGACAACTGCATATAACGTTGCCTGGCCGTTGCCTGGTTATGCACACGTTGACCTTGACAGAGAATGAACTATGACCTTGAGCTGTGTCACTCCTCAAACACGTGCTCCGTGCCCACTACAGTGGTGCCCCCTGGGGAAGCAGAGAACTCGTCGTTAAATGAGTTTCACAGTGGCCGTGCGCTGGTATTGCGTGCGCAACTCTCACGGTGTTGCGAGTATAACCGAAAGTCTCACGGGAAAGATGAAAGATTAATGCTGGGAAGTCGCGCGTTCACACAGACACCGTCATGCACGTAGTCACACACAATTATCTTCCACCTAACCCTGCTGATAGCTGACGGAATGGTGGCTGGAAGTAATAAAAATCCCACTGCGAAAATAAATGCTAAACGAGCTCCCGTTTATAAGTACCTTCAGATGTTTTTATGATCTAATATATGTTAATTATCTAGCCGTGATTTATAACGTGATTACTGTATTAGTGCTATATATCTGGAGTTGTTAGTGGTAACATCGACTGCCGCTGTTGGTCAGCGTAGTGACTGGTCACTGCTTGAATTTTGGCAGAATTCGGTTCATCTAGCAGAGAAGGCAGCATGTCTGATGCTGCAGTATGCCGATTATCTGGAGGTGTGGAAACTTGGCGATACAGCCGTAGAACTGGAGATGGGAGTTGAAGGTGAGATATAGCAGAGTGTACTGGTATTGCATGGTATTTAATGAAATCATAAGACTATCATTATTATTGTTATTATTATTATTATTATTATTATTATTATTATTATTATTATTTTCAAAGTGGGTCACCAGTTCCAAAGTTATTATTATTATTATTACTATTATTAATAGCAATTAATATTATTAATACTGTTCCGATCATTCATCAACACTATTTTTTGCATGATAATATAGTTATGTGAAAACTTTCAAAAGATGGCGTGCAATTTCCACGAATGTGGTGAAATGCATTTCTATCATTTGACGTGACGATTGAGCTTTGAAATCGATTGCATTTAATCGTGAAGCTAAATTCCGACCGTGTCGATAAATTCTAGCGATCGTTGTTACCGTGACTACCATGACGTGGTTTTTCTTCCGTGATGCAGGTGGAGACGGAGAGATGTTGCCGCTAACGAAAGGAGCGAAGAAGCTGCTGCAGCTAAAGACGCGGAACGATGAGCGAGTCATCTGCTCCGCCATCTCACGCGACGCGCGCTGGCTCGCCTACTCACACACCTCCGCCATACACCTCTACCAGCTCTCGCTTGTACGTGCAGCGCCATCTATCGGTGGCCTACGCTCGGTCTGGCTTTTTTTTCTTCATTCTAATTTTTGTCTTTTTCGTGATATTCGTTTTATTCTTTTTGGTATTCTGCACTTTTTATTCATTTTTTTTGTATTTGGTTTACGCTCCTTTGCAGCTATTCTGGATGTTAAATGTATGTGGGTCATATCTAGTGTTCTGTGTTGCATTGCGTCGGTCCATATCATGCCATGCTCCTTGTAGATGGAAATCCAACTCATATTTGTAATCTTTCACGTACTCAGGACGAAGAGAAGCCTCTATCGGTGCACAGAGTGAAGTATCTGCCCCCTGGTGTTCAGCCAGCACACCACCTATGTTTTGCTGGTTCGGACAGGTTGCTAGTGGCAACGGAAACTGGCGACGTTCAAGTATTGGAGGTTGATAGCGTAAAGCCGAAGCTACTGCACAACTTTGATGGCTGTGAGTATAGCTTTTTAATCAGGGAAACTATTGATGCTATTTCCATTGTATTTTAAAATAATGTATAATGTCATGTTGTCTCTAATCTGACTGCATACATTCTCAAAGAAAAATTTCGAATAAACAAATTAATATTGAACGCACACATGCACACACACAACCACGCGCACATGCATTTGCACACGCCGATGCATATGTATGTGTTTACAAACTTGCACATGAATTCATACTGAATGCAAAAAGATAGCTTGCATGCATTTTCGTCTTGCAATGCCTGCACACTATTGGAACCTACATGCAAGCTCTAGCCAGACAAAAATCATCATCTTATTACTACACAGTGCTGCCTTCTTTGTGTAAATGTAAGCACTGTGTAGTAATAAGATTATGATTTTTGTCTGGCTAGAGCTTGCACTGTAGAAATTATCATTGCAACTTGACTGCTATAAATGCAGTAAAACGTGTTAAATATTATTATTTTTCAGGCCAGGAGGCTGTTAGTCACATACGAGCATCCAACTGTGGTCGGTACGCTGCAGTGAGCAACTTCTCTCGAACGGTGATCGTATATGACATCATCGAATTCAAGGTATTACATAATATATGTATCAACATTCCTGGTATTATGTAGATACCAATTTTGTATGTACAAATGTGTCAATAATTTACAGGCATATATATTGTTGGTTATTGTTGGGATTCTAATTCGCACTGGCTGCCACGTTATGGAACCTTGTTGCATAATTTAAGTTGCTCAGCAAATAAACGTGGAAATTATAATATTATATCTATTCAAACTATTCTAGCGTTGCAGCAAACTAGGCAATGCGATACTTATCGTGGCCGAGCCATATTCAGTATCGACTTCGTGTAGACCTCCATGAGTTGCATATTTCACGTAGAACATTGTAGAGTTTGTGACGCTGAACTCTTTTGCATCTCCTCTTACAGAAGGTGTGTGCTATGCCACAGTTTCCACAGCAGGTTGCCGCTCTCTGTTTTCACCCGCGAGATCTGGAGCTACTCGTGGTTTATGCTGACAATAGCGTGAGTCCTAATGTTACTCGCTATATATACACGCCACAGAGCTCAGATAGTACGTGTAGATGTGTCGAAACCTGGAAACCTGCATGGAAGTGGCTTTTGTTAATGTTTTACGGTGTAAGAGATATGGACCTGACAGTGAGAGAGAGAGATAGAGATAGAGATAGAGATAGAGATAGAGATAGAGATAGAGATAGAGAGAGAGGGGGAGAGAGAGAGAGATAGAGAGAGAGAGAAAGAACAAAAGCCAGGTTGCGATTCCACTCGAAAGAGAAGTCAGAAAGAGCAGGAGCGATGGCAACACAGAGAAATAGACACTGAATCAATTATTAATAATACAAATAATAATAATAGCAACAATCATGATAATATTTAATAATGATATGCTTTTTGACAATGACTCTCTACCACAGTTGTTAGCATGCACATTATTACTTAATCTGTACATATGTATGTGTTATTTATTGACATATTTCGTAGCTAACACGTGCATGGTGTCTTTACATACTAATAGGTCGTAGAGTACAGTATAGCAGAAAAGGGCTACACGTCATGGTCACGGAGGTACGCCAAGATGCGCCACCAGATGGAGCCGGCGGAACACGTGGGAACCACGTTGAATGTGATGTATCATCCGAGCGATGAGAAGCACAGCCAGCTTATCCTGCACGGAGACAAGAGGGTGCGGTGCATCGACAAGACGGAGGTTAGTGACGCTCATAGGGTCTATGTCCCCCAGGGTACTGCCGGAACGTACCCTGGGTACGGTCCGCGTATACCAGAACAGACCCTGGTCACTATTTGATATGGTTAGGGTTAGGATTAGGGTTAGGTTAGGGTTAGGTTTAGGGGTAGGGTTCGGGTTAGGGTTAGGAGTAGGGTAGGCGACTCCCTAGACTAGTTAGTGGAGTAGGCTAGGTACGGTCCGGCATATAATATAGTGCCAGGGTACGTTCGCGTATACCGGACCGTACCCAGGTACGTTCCGGCAGTACCCCGGGGACTTAGACCCTCTCAGCGTTAGTGACTATCACACCTAGCTCTGTAGATAAGACATAAGAGACAGATAAATACATACATAACTAGAGCACTCGGAGAGCACCAGACCTCCGCCAAGGCAGCTGAATCTCTAATGAGAAATTTTTAGTGAATTAATTAATTAATTAAATAATTAATTGGATCCGGATTAGTGCGAGCGTGCAGGTGGGGGAGGACTGTGGTTGCCCCTTAGCCTGTGGTTGCGTGATTGTAAGTCTACAGCCAGCGCACCTAGCGGAAAGGAACTGAAACGTGCATGTTAACAAACCCACAAACCCACAAACCAACACTCAAACACACGCCGGTGAAAACATAACCTCCGCCAAGCCCCTGGCGGAGGTAAATATAGATACATAAAAATACAGATAGATAAGACTGTAAGAGTCATCTAACTTCTATGGCTAAGTGTATCTCCTCGCCTGGCATGTAGCTATGTGACTCCCTCTCTCACTCTCCCTCCTCCCTACCTGCCTCTCCCTCCTCCCTACCTGCCTCTCCCCTCCTCCCTACCTGCCTCTCCCCTCCTCCCTCCATATATCTCTCTCTCAATTTCCCCCTTTCTCTCTCTCTCGTTCTCTTGCTCACTCTCTCACTCTCCTTCCCTCTCTCTCTCGTTCCCTTTCCCTCCCTCTCACTCTCTCTGTGTTATTACATATCTCTCTCCCTCTCCCTCCCCTCTCTCTCTCTCTCTCTTTTTTCTCTCCCTCCCATTCTCTTCTCCCTCTCTCTCCCTCTCCCGGTGTGTTACTACATACCTCTCTGTCTCTTCCTCCCCCTTTTCTCTCGCCCTCTCCCCCTCCCTGCTCTCTCTCTGTCTCTTTCTCTCACACGCTCCCTCCTTGTTTACCACACAGACGTTTCCCACCGTTTAATTTGGCGGCAGCATGCATTCACACGTGCTTTTCTCCGTGCGAACCCTACAGGTGCAATCGCGGAAGCGTGGCGGCGCGTTACACGTCTGCGACCGCATACACTACCTCGTACACGTGGCGCCATCTGCACCGGACTGGCTCGTCATCGTCGAGCGCACGCCTCAGTCGATCGCGGTGACGCTGCCGCCGACGCTGGCCGTGAAGAAGTTTGGAACTTAGCCGGTAGAGGGAGCCGGTGTAGCGTGCGAGTGCGAGATTCAGGTGAGGGTTGCCCGGGGGGTCGTGTGTAATCTATTCTGTCGTGAAGTACGTGCGGGGATGGGCACGTCCCTGTAGCAGTAGGAATTATCGAGATAAATTCAAGGGAAAAGGTGTACAAATTGAATGACAGTCGGTGGTGTGGCTACCGAAGAAATGTTGATGATAGTTATTACGACGTCGATAACGATCGAACGAATTAGAGTAATGTAATATGTTAATTATGATTGCGATGATGGTTACGAACATGTTTGTAACGGTGATGATAATTGCATACATGTTTAGCAGTTATAATTGTGATATAGCTCTTGCAAGTGTCAATATAGAACCTCAATCTAATCCCAATTAAATCTAAATAATTTCTGTTCAACTCCTTTACTAAGAATTTACCTTACTGCATGACACATGCGACGTTCTGAGAATGCACTCACTAGACGCTCGACGTAACTATGACGACATCCTGATCGATAACAATCTACCTAAGATAAAATCATTGACGTTACTCAGGTGTGCATGTGGAATGGGGTGTCACTCGTCCCGGGTTCCATGTAAGCGGTCGTCATCCGCTTACCATCACAGCATGGAGTGTTCAGGCAAGTTTACGTGGACAACTAGGTGGCACTGCCTGGTGAGGTATCGACCAGCGGGGCCGCTGTGGCACGGGTACGTTGCCGTGGGTGACAGGGTGCATCGACGGAGTCCCCACTAACTAACTACGGATGTCGCGCAAGAAGCGATTGCATCGTCATCATCGTCCTTGGTTACGCGTCTGCCGTGACAAAACAGCGATTAACGGGAGTTGACGCCATCATATCTTTGCGTTGATTGCGTCTCCGCGGCGACTACGGCGTCGCTATTAGCAACGATCGTAGCAGATGAAATTATCTTCGTCGAAGCGGTTTTCGAAGACTTATTTCTCATGTGCCAACGCTGCGCAGCAGACAGACAGCATAGTGGAGAGGTTTTGGGCAGAGGGTGGTGCATGCCCCAGAGAGGAGAGGCATCTGAGACTGGGGTGGGGGCAGTGGGCATCGCCTATACAGTGTATGGTCAGATCTGTGTTAGCGATCACCTGTATAAAATAGATGTCTGTCTAGGAAGTGAAACACTTTCAGTGTTTCTCCTGAGCAGCAGTTAATATGCTGAAAACACAGACACTGATGGAACGTGAAACAGACACCTTTCTATAAGGAGCACTCTTCGCTTAAGTGATCATTACATACAGGTTCTACCATGCGTGCGTGGGTGTGCGTGTTTGTGCGTGCGTGTGTTAGATTAATATCACGAAATCGGACTGTGTTCGTGCGTGTAATTCATGCAGCAGTAGTTTGAGAGTGATGCCTCCCATCATGCGCTCCTCTAAGAAGCATCTCTATCTCCCGGGGTTCTGCCATAGGGAAATTAACGCGAACATATATGATATATGTAATGTGTGCGCGTGCATACATGCGTGTGGGCGTGCATACATGCGATGCGTGTGTGCGTGCGTACTGCGTGTGTACTGTGTGTACGTGTGTGCGTGTATATATGGGCATATGTGTGATCGTTGCAGCGGCTGCTGTTGTTCTGACATTATCTATTCATCCCGCAACGACTATCACTAATGATGACGTTATCGCGACAATAATGACAATTTTATTCTATAATAAACTTCTCGATGGAATATTAAAAAGTAACTCCAGCTGTTATTGTCTCATTCACTAACTTCACGAATATCATGTAAATATACACGTATATATATATACATACACATATCAGGCGTGACAGATATGCAAATATCAGTGTCATTATTCACCACTGATACATATATATATATATATAATATATATATATATATCACGAGTAAATGAGATAATTCTGGTATATATGTATGTATATATGTGTATGTGGGCAGCCACTAGTGCACTGTTTTTATGTACTGTGTGTACACGCTGTAGATATGTACTTGTTATATGGTCGCCAAAAACAAAAGGATATCAAGATGCCATAGAAATTGTACAAAGAAGAGCAACCAGATTGATTCCAGAACTATCTGGAAGTCCCTATACCGAACGACTGGAAGCACTAAAGTTACCAACACTTGTCTATAACTCATAACATACTATACTTATATAGTATACTTGTCAACTATAGAAGGGAAAGAGCCGATGTCGTCAGTCGATGAGTCAGTTGTTCAAAATTGTGCACATGCTAGACAAGGTCAAGATGGACAACCCATGCCCAATATGCCACAAAACGATGTTCCAGCCAACACTTGCCACACAAACTCGAGGTCACCCCTATAAATTTCAAGTTCACCACACCTCCGGCCAGCGACACAACTTCTTCGCAACCAACTAGAGTACTGGACAATTGGAACACGCTCAAGACTGAGACAGTCTGTAGCACCACACTGAATGCTTTTAAGGGACGGCTTACCAGGGAGTGGCAAACCAGACCGTGCCTGTACCAGTACCGTTTTTCTTACTAACTACCATCTCGTACAGGCACGCCAGTGATTATTCAGACATATACTAACACGAAACAGGAACATGAACAGTTCCCCAGCCTTAGACGGTCTCAATACCTTAACCGGTAAATATTGACCAGTCATAAGATAGATAACTCATATAGTAACCATAAAGGGAATCATCGCGTTTACTTTTCGTACGTATCGTTTACTTTTTTCCCCGCTTTTTTTCGTACTTAAGTAAACTGCGCATCACGAGGCCCGCTAGTCCGAGCCGACGCATGCATGATGAGACGACGCAGCATGAGACGACGCAGACCCCAGTAACACCCCATAAACCAGCTCCCTCAGATTAGCAAAGCGGAGTTATAACGTCTGCATTTGCGGACTAGAGGCCCGCATGTTTGTCGACATATGTATACTTTCAGTCGTTTACGACGTTCTGCGAAAGGCTGCGTTTGAATAGAGGTAACTATAGCGTGTGATGAGGTTTACGTAAGTCGCGCACATTTCGGTTCTAAGGGCGCTGTCATGCGAATGCAATGATGTGCTGCGTAATGCAGGAGATCAACACAGCTTCTCAAGTAGAGATTTCTGCCGTAGTATATTCACAGATATGTGGTTTGCTTCTCGTTACCACAATGACAGACTAACGGAGAGAATGGTATTAATTATTAAATTAATAATTACCAATTAATAGCTCAAGTAGAAACTCTTGTGTATCACAAAATTAAAATCTAGAACGTGCAACTACCAGAAAATGTGGTAAATCTCACGTTAAACGTAAAAGGTGTACGCTCCAACTTTGGTAAAAAAAAATTCTGGGAAACTTACGGAATAAGACAATAATTTCTCTAGAAGCATGTATGAATACATTTCTGCAATAGATAAACACATATACAGTATTTTATTCCTTCATTCACGCACACACGCGCACCATACACGTACACTATTTACAAAACTTGCATGAAAACGAAGAAATTTCGTCTAGACTAGCTGTGACTTATAGAGATACTACAAATACTCAACAATTTACAATACAATGTAAAATAACAAATCGTCTGCTTATATCTACTTCTGACATAATGAGTTGTATCGCGTATGCAATATATAAATCCGGGTTGCTGGCGGTCGATCGTTAGCTTGTGCGACCACGATCTTGTATATAGGCTACAGCATATATACCTCCGCTTAACGTATTAACACATCATAATCTTGTTGCGAGGTTTCAGCTCTCTGCCAACGAAATATGCTTACATGCCCTCGCACGTACTGTTCGTGTGTGAAACGTAAATCTCGTCGCGCGACTAGGCGATTGTTAACTAACAACAACTCATCGACATTCTACATGCAGTTACGACCAACAGCCAAAACAGACTAGACCGAGAAACAATCGCGCTGTCCCATTTTGGCCAGCCTCGCGTCATTTCCAAAATATAAAAGAAAATCTACGGTTACTGACAGCAGTCCTGTATCAAAACCAACGAGAAAAATATACCGCGTATAAGAATAACGGGCATTCGCAAATGCTAGAGTTAAAATCAACTTTAACTACGTACCCGCACGTGAATCTCTTGGCGCAGGACTACCGGCCTAATATTAAAAAAACCATTTTGTATGAGAGATACTACTTGGACACGTTATGTCCATTCCGTTTAATGTTACTTGTGCCTGTGCTTACTGCAGTCGATCCCTGCAACTTGAAAACTTATGAATACATGTAAGATTATATATAGATGCTCATTTATAACCACATAACTCTATATTATAACTAGGTGGTTAGAATTAACTACTATAATTATACACATTTTCATAGTTAGTGTTTAGCAGTAGGACATTACATACCATTTACAACATGGATAGGTAATTTTAAACCACATAGTGATAACACTATAGAAAATGATGACTGGGCATATACACTTCCTGGCAACATTTTTCCCAATGCATCCTTGACCTGTGGCTGTCAGAAGCGACATAAGACACATATGAACTGCCGAATAGCTAAAAAAACTAATTACAATAAAGGTAGCAAGCGAGAAATCGTTTAAGGGGTCTTAATAAAACATTCAGAATTGCATGTGGCTAGGTCATGGCATGAACTTGTGTATATAATATACTTATTCTATAGACAAGTTCATTGCCATAGCGATCGGTTATATAGCAGAGCTGTCATTACAAAACCATGACAACGTTGGGAATTCTCATTCCAACATTAGCCAAGTGCTGGCATTGCTTTCCATCGCCCATTAAGTTCATTTTAGTTCACAATACTGTGAACGGATAGAGATCACTTTCTAACTGCCATACGAATGCTTTGCTTATGGTATGCATTCCCCATTTTTGGAGAGTAAAATTAATCTTCCGAGAGGTAAGGTGAGCTAGGTAAAGTAGGTTAACTATAGGAAGACAAAACACAATCTAGGTAGTCAAGGCTTCTACATGCCAGAACAACAGTTGGCACATCAAGCAAACAATTCTTAATTTAGATAACTGAATTTTCCATACTGTGCATGGTACATGGCGCCAGTTATTTTATATCTTATCAGGAGTAAAATAAATTCTATTATATTATTCCTGATCACACTGTTCCCTAAAGATAAGAATTATTGAAGTATATATGTATGTACATAAAGGATTATTAAACAACCACTAAACAGAAACCGAATAATTGAATGCACTTATTACAACATGGAATGAATAATCCAATGATCTATTAAATTTCAACCCTGATTTGCAGAAATAAGCAAACAATTGTTAATTTAGATAACTGGACCTTCATGCAAATTCCCTGCTATACTTGCACTTTCCAGCCAATATAGCTAGCAGACGATACATAGCAACCTATACAATAAATCAAGTATATTACATGTGTGAAACGCTACTGTCTATGAGATCAAGGCTGGGCTTTGTTATCCATATGCCACCATATGTAAAAGTCCAATAGTAAAAATTTTCAAGACTACTCACCAGGGAAAAAAAACACGCAAATGACTACAAACAGATCGTAAAACAATGGTAAAATATAGCAACTGGAATCACTATTCTGTCATTGGTGTTGTGATCTGAGATGAACCAATTTTCCCTGCAAGTGACGAGGTGTAGAATACTTGAATTAGCATTTACAAATACATTACACTAGTTGAGATTGTGGCCAAAGGAATATGAGCAAAGCCACCAGCTGCTTTTGGTGAAGACAGATTAATCCTCATCTGCAAATTGTTGCAATAGTGCAGTATCAGTCAGGTCTGTCTATCGCCATCTTTGGAATAAATTCAATTCGAATCACCTAAAACAGAAAAAAGGCCAGACTATGGTTACCTACTCTTTTATCAGACAGAATAAACACATTTATTGACATACATACAGCATAATAACAAATAAATGTACGTGTATTGCTTAAGCTGATTAAACATCATAAAGAGATAATGATATCTTATCATGTAATAGCATTAACTTCTCGATACAGAATAAAATAGAGACTTACATATTCCAGCATACTACTGGAGTCACATCGCTGCTTGCTGAGATGCCAGTGCAGTCCCAACTAGAAAACATTTATGACACCACTTAGTGTAAGACATATGACGATATTCAGACAATGCACACCTCACTCATTCCATGGAAGCCTACGTTTGGCTAATTTTAAATAATACAAAGGTAACCATTCATTTAAATACCTCAATACTTACTTTATGATATAAATGACTATTCTCCCAGTCTAGGACCTTTTCTATAGAATGTTTTGTCTGTAAAAAAATGTTTAATATGAGTAACTAAATCAACTTTACTAACAGATCTCAAGTTCACAAGGCAGAGATATACTTATACCCCGTACAGACTACGAATTTGATATGGTACTAAACTAACCAGTAAACAAGCTTGGCACTTGCCCGCTCGCCAAATTGTCGAGTTAAAATAATATCGGGCGAGTAAAAGCTGAAGCTGACTCGCCCATGTTGGCGAGTAAAAATAATTGTCTAAAACTTTAATCAATTGTTGGTTCCTTACGTTATATATCCAAACATTAATGAAAAACAGTTCTAGCGATTGTGAAGGGCGGCTATCGCACGGCATCCTCACTTTATATTATCAAAGGTCACCGACAGTCAGCACAGCGTGGCTGTGCATACATGCCTAGGGCGCATATTGATTGATGTACGGGGGGGGGGGGGGGGGAGTGCAGGATTGTTTAAAAGTCGCGTGGGGCATGTTCATTATAGGGGTTGGGCACCGCTAGGATCAGAGGACGACAGCAAAATTCTTTCCTGGAATTGAGAAAAAAGCTTAGAAAAACAAAAAAACATAAAAAAATTTCGTTTTAAAATTTGGGCGAGAACAGATTCCGTTTTGGCGAGTTAACTTATTGACTCACTCGCCCAGTTTGGCGAGAGGTTTTTATTTTAAAGCTCTAACACTGCTAGAGCGCGTTAGACACGCGTCTAATGTACGCTAAATATTGCAGTGTGTACATGCTATCCTGCTCCAAATACGTGCTGGCCCGCTCTAAGATAGCCCCCCTTACGAAGCAGGGCTAACTTGGTGCGCACCTTTGGTCCCGCTCTAACTCTGTGTCTGTACGCAATCGGTGCCTAATGCCGGCGAAGTAACGCAATGCGCATGCGCATAGCCTCATTTAGGTCACGCGCGTACGCTCGCTGTACCTCACTGTCTGCGGGGTGACGTGGCGAGCAGGGAACCGAGCGGTGGGAGAACTGATGACTCATTTAGCCCGCTTCAGAGTTTTGTCTGTACGCTCCTAGTTAGCACGCGTCTGACGCGCGCTAAAATTTGTAGTCTGTACGGGGTATTAAAAATAAAGGTTACTATCTGCATAACCCTCTACTGATATTGCTTTAGGTGTGAACTATAATTATTTGATGTTAAATCACATACCCGTTTACTTAGGCAGATTACAGGCCATAGAGAACAGCCAAGAGTACAGCAGCAACATATACAGCCACAGAACAACCACTTCACGTTCATCGGTAATGTTTTTTTCAAGACTTGGTTAATTCTGTCTATCGTGTCTTTGTATTCTTCTGGTGCAACCTGAAACCGAAAAAAATCACACACTATAAGCTTCCTAATGAAAAACAATAGGAAACAATTATTGTGCTTTTATATAACAAACTAAATTGAACTGTAACAGTGTTGCTTGTTGTAAGAATCATGCAAACTGAACAAAATTACAATTTGTTTAACCTGGGCATTTAGTAAGATTGCAGCCAATAAATGAAAAAGCATATGCCTGCTGACATACACAAAACATTCTAGGTTGAGTTACACATTGCAAAAACTGGTTTTTAAAGGATGAAACAATTTAAAATCTATCAACGTGAAATTGCAAACTATAGTCTACGCTAAATGTTACAATGATACCAACCCGCGCTGAAAGTTCTGAAGGAAAGTCAGGTTCAAATCTGTTGCTTAGACCAAACCTGAAATGAGATTGATAATATAGCATACGGTGAGGTGATCACAAAACACTAAAAACTTAAAATTTAAGCAGATGTGATTAAAAGACGTGGGATGCACAATGTGGGTAATCAAGACTTGGTACCATAGTAGAGGTTTTTAGGTTGGTATGATGCATGTGCTGTTGAATTTTCATCATAGGGAGGTAGATTATCCATTTATCACTATCAGTGTTAAACTAGGACTCACATTCTCGATACCGGTCACTCGTGTTGACCTATGAAGAATTGTCAGTCACATGAACACTGTGCTCATGTCATGAATCAATATGGCCTCGTTTTGGCTGATGTGAGTTTTTAGATTAGCTGCTATCTTTTTTGTTTTGTTTTTGCTTTGTCACGTTGTTGAAACTGTCAACGGATCAAGAAATTAAAACTAACCGAAACAAAGCGCAAGAGGAAATTACGGCCCAAGGATATAAGATTAAGAGCTGTCCACATTTGCACATTTCGCACATTTGCGAAAAAGATTTGTGGTCAGCGCTTATATCATGAACCGAAATTACTTTGTACAACAAAGTAATTTGCACCCAACTACAAAACAGTGTAGTTCACTCAAAATGTCATATATATCATGATGATAATATCATAACAAATTTGTCATTATTAACCCCTGATAACATCATATCATTTTATCATGCATGATGGATAACAGAGATTATATTTTTTCTCACTTAACGTTAAAATAGTTCGGTCAGTGTTACTTTTACAAACACCTAATTGCCGGTATTAAACTACCTAGACTAGCCTACAGTTTCATTTGACAGTGCCAAATACAAGGGATTGCATCACAGGCACTTGGAACGTCTCAATAAAAAAAAAGTAGCTAAATAAACACAAAATGTATTTACTACCAGTCTTAATGTTTCTCTATTCTATATCGCCTATTATTGCCGATAATCACCCGTAAGTGCCGGTCAAATGCTCATCCGCAACACAAGTACACCGTACGCCCGCCCTGTGCACAAACAACATGAATAAGAGAGCAGGCAGGAAAGCGTGATCGCAAAATATGCTCGACGCTCGCTTCATTTCACACCTTCACAGCACGAATACACTTCCAACAGCTTCAATCCTGGTATCTATGTGTAGCTAAATGTTCACTTGTTCGAATTATAACTCTGTCCTTTGTCCTTACCTACTCCCGCCAGAGATATCTCGTGAAATCCTGCAGGAAATGTTCTCTCCGTGAAAATGTAAAGAGGATGTAAAGAGGACGAGATGTCTGTTCATACACGAGTAATGGCGGCGCATTGCATCCCGGGATGAGCTGCTGCCTGCCTCCAAGCCTCCATTCGAGGCCCGCCAAGCCAAGCCTCCATTCGAGGCCCGCCAAGCCAAGCATAATGCGCGCGGCCATGACGTTACACACACGACTACAGTGTCAGTGATCGATCGAAAGTAGCGCCGTTAGGGATTTTCGGATGATACGTCCTCTTTACATTTTCACGAAGAGAACATTTCCTGCAGGATTTCTCGAGCTATCTCTGGGGGGAGTAGGTAAGGAAAAAGGACAGAGTTACAATTCGAACAAGTGAACATTTAGCTACACATAGATAGCAAGATGGAAGTGGTTGGATGTGTATTCGTGCTGTGAAGGTGTGAAATATAGCAAGCGTCGAGCAAATTTTGCGATCACGCTTTCCTACCTGCTCTCTTATTCATGTTGTTTGTGCACAGGGCGGGCGTGCGGTGTACTTGTGTGTTGCAGATGAGCATTTGACCGGCATTTATGGGTAATTATCGGCAATAATAGGCGACATAGAGTAGAGAAACATTAAGACTTAGGTAGTAAATACATTTCGTGTTAGATAACTTTTTTTTTATTGAGACGTTCCAAATCCAAGTGCCTGTGGATTGCATCTTATTCTTAATTGTTTACGCAAAAAATGTTGAAAGCTCGTTTCGTCGCTCAATGACGTCACAGTGTCGTCACGTCCGTACGGACTTGAGACGCGAACCCCCACCGTAAAACCGGGCACGTAGGCGTGTATTGGCTTGATCAGCACTCCCAACCCCGCACGCCGCAGGGCACAGTGTACCCTGCATCAAAGCCGGAGCAGCATTGTTGGTTAGTTACACACTCCACACACAGCCCACGCACGCACGATGTACGTGCATACGCACGCACGCCCGCACGTGTTACGCACGCCCGCACGTGTACGTCACACGCAGGCACACACACACGCACATGTACGTGCCTATGCACGCACGCATGTGTACCGTGCACACCGGACCCACGCACGTGTACGTGCCACGCACACGTGTACGTGCAAACGCACGCACACACACACGCACATGTACGTGCCTATGCACACACGCATGTGTACGTGCACACCGCACGCACCACACGTGTACGTGCCCACGCACGGTGTACGTTGCAAACGCACGCACACACGTGTACGTGCCTATGCCACGCACGCACGTGTACGTGCCACACACACGTGCACGTGCACAACGCACGCACACGTGTACGTACCCACTAACGCACATGCACACGCACGCACGCACGTGTAACGTGCGCACGCACCCACGTGTACGTGCAACGCACGCAAGCGGTAACGTGTACGTGCAGATCAGCTTTCCTCCAGATGTCTTTGCACCTCTACTTTGCAACTCTGATTTCAATTCATTTATGGTTTTCCTTCGTAACTAGACGCCATTGTTTAGCAGTGATACCGGACAGTGCACGCGCGCCATCTATCCAGCGATTAGTAAATGGCGCACCCATTAGAAATGCCCACATGCTATTTGAAAAAACGGCAGGCCCTACACCGATTACGTCATGCCAGCTTGACAAGGCCAAGGGGTTAGATGTCGGCAGCACTTACCTCACCGACAAGGCCTGCCAGAGGTTCATTATGACGATAGCCGATACAAGGCGCCGGAACGTTTGTAGCTATAAATTAGGCAAAATTCCTTACTGTGATAAGTGACGGATCCACAGATTCCTCATCACAGGAAGCCGAAATTTTATTGTCGAATTAAAATTTTATTTAATTTAAATTTAAATTTATGATCCATATCAAAGTTACATGTATTTATACAATTGAATGTCTTTTATACAAAACCTTTCTGGGGGACACCCCTTGTACCTGGAGAGACCCCCTGTACCCCCTAGCCAGAAGCGGGGCTCCACCTCCTACCCCATCTAACCTCATGGCAAATCACAATGCTCGTCGCTCTGCGCCTAGTAAGAGTTCTTCGGCAGGACTAGTAGAATCTTGGAAGACTAGTAGATTTTTCCGTTTACTAGTCCTGTGGACTAATGAGACTAAAATTGGTTAGTGTCTAAACCTGGTGATTCGATCGAAAGTAGCGCCGTTAGGGATTTCGGATGATACGTCCTCTTTACATTTTCACGAAGAGAACATTTCCTGCAGGATTTCTCGAGCTATCTCTGGGGGAGTAGGTAAGGAAAAAGGACAGAGTTACAATTCGAACAAGTGAACATTTAGCTACACATAGATAGCAAGATGGAAGTGGTTGGATGTGTATTCGTGCTGTGAAGGTGTGAAATATAGCAAGCGTCGAGCAAATTTTGCGATCACGC